ATCTCCCTCATCTCATTTGAAGAATTCCTCTGCCTTTTTCTCCTCTTCCTCTGCAGACAAGATGCAGACATAGACTTCTTATAAAATCTTGCAATTTCGGCCATTCACATACCTTGTCCGTACTTCTTGATGATTTCCTTCTTAACCTTTTCCACTGTAATCATCTCCTCCTTACCATCTTTCTTTTCAACCTCTTTCTGCCATTGTATACATTTCACACGGCTGTTGGCTACAGTACAGTGTTAATAAACTCTTGTCATACTGTATGTAATGTAACTGGCAATAAGGCAGCAGAGGAAAGGGTCTGTATCTGCAGGCAGCCTGACCTAGAATGAAGCAAAGCATTCCTAAGCTTACTCCTGTATGGAAAAGCAAAGGACTGTCCATGTGCTTTGAGGTGACATAAAATAACTAATGCCAGTTGTAGGCACTTTCCAACATTTTGAAAAATCACTGATTTCTGCCCAACACCGTGGCCTGAGACCAAGTATCCAAGCATAGGAGACAATCACCCACAATCCCACAGCAAGAGAGTGATCATGTGACGTTCGGCATCACGTAGTACTTATATTGCAAGATATCACACGCTTATTGAGTTAAAACTTATCAGAAATGTTCACTCATCTTGAAGAATGCTCACAGAACAAGTTACAATCCAAGGTTTTACTGTATTTGAAATGTCTGTGCTTCTGAGATGCCAGATGAAATGCCAGCTGAATATATGAGATCACAACTCCAAGGAAAAGTTTTGGTTTAGTTTATAGATTTAGGAGTTGACAGCATACAAATAATATTTTAAGCCATGTAAATGGTAATTGTGAACTATTATAATTCAGCTGAAGCTTAAAGTGTTTAGCATCTCAGTCCCCTTAATATGTCTGGGGAATTGTCCACCTTATAAACGTTGGCAGGAGGTAGAACCCAGATGTTGGAGAGGTCATCAAAAGGATGTGACTGCCAGTTGACCCTCAGACCGGATATGGGCAATCATAGGCTCCTGTCCCCCCTGTCCTTGGAATATACGTTCTTCCCACTGTTCCCACACTGGGAACCACCTCAAGGACTCGGCCTTGAGAGAGTAATAGGCTACTGAGACCATCTGCACTGTATATGTGACTTGAATCCCATCAGGTCCTCCATGAACTCTTGAGATTCTAAAGGCATGTGTGGAGGTTACTTATCTTGTAGCCACCCAAGACAAGCCTCATATGTAAGTTCCCTTGCTTATTAACCCCCCCTACCAATCTGGAGAGGTCTGCCTCTTTCTTCACTCTCTCCTTACCCTGAGTGTATGGAGGCCAGTTTCGAAATTTCACTTGAACTCCAGAAGTTGCAAACCAACACCACCACCCCCTTTATGGAAACTGAAATTTTCACTGTACTCTTTTCCTAACCTCTCTTGAATCTAGGGTGAGGGTACAGGACTCTGTACTCTGAAAATCAGATACACTTGCTTCAGATTCTGAATGGATCATGATGCAGAGAACCTGCGATGGTGAAAACCCTTCTCTGGCAGTAGTGACAGGAGCTTGAATATCTGGGGGCAGCAAAGGTGCTGAGGCTGACAGTGTATTGCCCTGTACTTTAATTGATATAAGTAATAATAAGGCTACTCAGGCCAGGCCTTGCATTGGAGTCAGCAGTGGTATCATCTGATTAGTTCTGTGTTGTGATTCTAGATGTGTTTTTTTTTTTTTTTCACTGCAGAACCTCCAAGGCCAAGTCTGTAGCTCTTGTGTTGATAGACTGAACTACCCACTATTCTTTATAATCTCTTTTTTGCTTACATCAGGTAAGAGCAGTTTCTGTTGCTTTTCACTAAGAAGTTACTGGTATAATCACTTGGGGGAGAGTGTAAATTTAAAAAAAGAGGTTATTACTTAGTATGTAATTTAGGAGAAGGCCAATGGAGGAGGAAAAAAAAATGTGTTTCTTAGAATTTGAGAGTTTCACAAGAAGGGAGTGGCCAACTGGGTCAAATACTCCTGAAAGGCCAAGAAACAGGAAGAAAGTAGCCACTGGATATGGTAATATGGAAGTCACTGTTGACCTTGACAAGAGCATTTTCAGTGGAGTGACTGGGTAGCCTGGTTGAAGTAAGTTAAGTATGAGTATGTGGGTAGAAAATGGGAAAAAATTGAATAGAGAACTTGAAGAAGTTTGTTCATGAAGAACAAAGAAATAGGTGTCTAGTTGGGGATATATGTACTGGCAGCAACAATAGAGCAGAGAAGGAGATAGCTCAAAGGACAAAGTCCTTGGTGAGGTTAAAGAGGCAAGATTAAGCTTACTTCCTGAAAAGTTGGCTATTTTTCTTTCTTTGTTTCTTTCTTTTTTTTTTTTTTTTTTTTTTTTTTTAGTGTTTATTTTTGAGAGATGAAGATAGAATGCAAGTGGGTTAGGGGCAGAGAGAGAGGGAGACACAGAATCCGAAGCAGGCTCTGGGCTCTGAGCTGTCAGCACAGAGCCCGACATGGGGATTGAACTCACGAGACATGAGATCATGACCTGAGCTGAAGTCAGACACTCAACCTACTGAGCCACCCAGGCACCCCTGGTATCTTTCTTATATATTAGTACTATTAACCCTTTTCTCTGTATGCTGTAAATTTGATCTCATTTTAACTTTTCATGGTCTCTTTAGTCAAGTTTTAACTATTTACATGATCACATCTTTTGCTTTTTTCTTTCCTTGATAATTCGTGGGTTTTATGTTATACTTAGTACATTTAGTGGAGCTAAAATAATTTTTTTTAATTAATTGGCTCTTTAACACAATAACCTCTATGTGGGGTAGATATCTAATGTTTTTTCCAAACATTTATTGAATAGTCTACTCTTTCCCCCACTAATAGGAACAACACCTTTATTGTATGTTGAGGGCTCTTACACACATTCACTTCCTCTCCCAGATGTTTCCAGACTCCTTATTCTTTGCTACTGTTTTGTCCATTCTTATGTTCATACAGTTAAAAATATATATGTTGTAGCTTTATGTCTTTTTGGCTGGTCAAGCAAGTCTCCTAGTGTTAAGTGTCTTTGTCCTTTAGTTTATAAATTAACTTAGGGAGAAGTGACATCTTATTAAGCCTTCCCATTTTGAGAATATCATTTGTTTTTCCCTAGTTTTCTTTCATATTCTTCCATAAAGTTTATAGTTTTCTCATATAGCTCTTGCACATTTCTTGATGTATTTAATAAGTAACTTGCATCTGGTAGACTTCTGATGTCCTAATTGGACATGGGGATGGATTTCAAATATCTAGTATTATCGATAGCATGTCTGTTAGGTGCTCTCCCTTAAGTATCAGTATCTCTTAGGCAGGATTCCTATGTAGATTGGATAAAAGTTAATTTCACAGAGTTATAGATTGCTGAGTCTCTATAATGATAAGTTCACATGCTCTAGAAGAAATGAGAGTTGTTATTTAACATGAAAATAAGGAGTTCTAATACATGTTCTCACCTGAATGAAAAGCCACTCTATGTCTACAGGATGGCAAGCTAAGCTACGATACTTTGCAGAAAGTAACTTCTGATTAAGTCCAACACTTGTTCCAAGTGCTGTCCTGAGACCCTGAATTCCAATATAATAAAACTTGGCAAACTGGTTTGAGTCTTTTCAGGTTTAGCATTATCAGCATGTGAACCTGAACACATCAAAGAAAAATATTAGGAACTTCTCTGGAATTCCTTCTTGGTCTTTTGTGCCAAGTCAGTCAGGCGACTGCTGGTTCCCACAGGTAAAACATAAATCTGGTGTCCAAGCCACCCAGGACCACTCTGCCCAATCATATTCCCGTGGCTTCTACCTGGCTTAGGTCCTCCATGCTATTTAATCTTGAATGTAATCTTCTGTCTTCTCCATATGTGATAGTCTGCAATCCCAGCCTATCTCCATGGAACCTAGTCTTTGTCCCCAACCAGTCATCTGGCATCTGGATGGATGAGCTTAACCAGAATAGTTGATTCTAAGACTCAAAGCTTTACAAATGTGCCAGCCAAGGTTAAATGATGCAAAATGCATCTGTATAATTGGGATGATTTGCCTTTATGAAGTTAGGTAATATTGGATAAATCAAGGTTAGTGTACTTCTGCCAAAAACACTTAATTGTAATAAAATTAGTATTTTTTCCTTGGTTATTAGAACTACAAGCCCATCTCTCTCTTTTTTTTTTTTAAATTTTTTTAATGTTTATTTTTGAGAGAGACAGAGCGTGAATTGGGGAGGGGCAGAGAGAAAGGAGGACACAGAATCTGAAACAGGCTCCAGGCTCTGAGCTGTCAGCACAGAGCCTGATGTGGGGCTTGAACTCGGGAAGGGCAAGACCATGACCTGAGCTGAAGTCAGATGCTAACCGACTGAGCCACCCAAGTGCCCCAAGCCCATCTGTCTTTTAAGAGTACTCTAGGGGCGCCGGGGTGGCTCAGTCGGGTAAGCGTCTGACTTTGGCTCAGGTCATGATCTCACGGTTCGTGAGTTTGAGCCCCGCGTTGGGCTCTGGGCTGACAGCTCAGAGCCTGGAGCCTGTTTCAGATTCTGTGTCTCCCTCTCTCTCTCTCTGACCCTCCCCCATTCATGCTCTGTCTCTCTCTGTCTCTGTCTCAAAAGGAAATAAACGTTAAAAAAAAAAACTTTAAAAAAAAAAAAAAGAGTACTCTAATCCATGATTTTTTCCTCCTGGACTCTTTATATCTTACCCAGGGGCAAGATTAACATTCAATTTATCTTCCTAATAGGTTCTCATTGTTTATTGATTCATTCCCCAATAGTCAAATTAAGAGAAAAGCTGGTAAAATGTTTAAATTAATCATATGACTAGAAATCCTGTAAATCCACTAAATAATATATTTATAAAAAATATTTAGGATTGTTACATAACTGAACAATGAATCCATAAATTAGTAGAAATGTAAAAATTTATTATTGAATACATAATTATAGAAATGATCTGTCCAAAGTAAAAAAAAAAAAAAAAAACCCAAAATCAATATTCACTTAAAATATAAATATATAATGCAAATTAAGTTACTGCCCATCATATTTTTTTTGTGTGCTTGTTATGAAAAATGTCCACCGTTGTTTCATGACATGGTCTTAAATCAAAATCACAATATCCAAGGGAAAAACGACTCTAAGAAGAGAAGAAAAGAGGTGTTTTGTTTTTTTTTAATAAAAAAGTCCAAAGCCATTTGTTAAAATGTTACAAAAAGTACAACATACTTACTCATAAGACTATATCTTACCTGTGGTTTCTTAAAATAATCAAGTCCCCTTCCAATCTTAATCATCCATCCATTGTTAAACCTATTGAAATAGTATACAGTATTATATTCCAGACATTTAAGTCAGACAGTTATCGAAGATGTAGTGTAGTAAGTGTCAGCAAAATTTCCCCCTAACAAAGAAAATCATTTTCTCCAGTGGCATGAGTTGAACCAAACTTGGAGTTATTCATGGGCCGTGTCTACAATGAAATAAAATGTCCAAAGAAACCATTAGTTGGTTTGATTAGATGGTAACAAGTTTGTCAAGTAAATTGTATCTTATTCTTGAATTTCAGACCTCTGATAAAACTTTCCTGTTCTGCTAAATGTATTCAGGTCAGGCTATGGTGCGTTGCAGGGTTTCCCTACCTAGAGATGGAGGACATACGCAGGATGAACTCTGGACCCCGACCTCTGCTTCAACCACAGCAGCTGCATTTTCAGCTGTTTTGCATTTAGGTTGTGCTTAAGTTTTCATTAAAACTAAAGGTGCACTCACTATAAACATATGAAAGCTACTGTGCGAAACAGAGGAACATATTACTAAAATACCTACATATACTGTCTCCTTGTAGACACTGCTGCATACTGTCATGCCTATGAGATTATTTCATAAAATATAAGTGAATACTAAAATCATCAGAATATTAAATATTACCACCAGAAAATTATCCTAATACCCCAACACTATATGTATGCTTGAACAGAAAAGTACTTCCTCTTCTCACGTGAAACAGAACATGTAAACTATTCCATTAAGAGATATGAAACTCAGATATAATAAGCCAGATTTTTTCCTAAAAAGTGAAAAGATACTAAAATTGTGCTTTATTTAAAATTTTAATAAACTGAATATTTATATGCAATTATATTGCATTAAAATAAGTATATTCAACTGCATAAAAATTAAAATACTGCTATAACTAACCTAATTTCTCGGTCATGTACTGAAGAAGAATATTCTAATTCCAACAGCACTCCATGATTCTTGAGTGACTCTTTTATTTCTTGCAGGCCACTACTTTGCTGCTCTTTCCCACTACCCTGTTAATAGGAAAAATATGATTTTCTGTTTAGTTATTACTATTTTAAATTATCATTAAGCTACACAATGTGTATCAGATAAAATGGGAAAGATTCTATACTAGTTTCAATGTCTATTATCTCAAAGAAGCAATAAAAGTATGAAGCAGTTTAATGGCAGTTGTTTTTATCAAAATAATTGTTTTTTTTCTAATGTACACATAACACAATTCTATCCTATCTCCTAAAATGTGTTTTCGTAATGCTATTTAGTTATTAAGATGGGGTGCTTTCTTCAAGTTAATCTTAAAATTCTGGTTTATTTAGAAGCATTCCTATTTAAATCAAAATCAAGATAGAGATGCTCACTATCATGCTATGATCCACCAGAAAGCCAATACAGTAAATCAAGAAAAAGATATAATCATTGGTAAAGAGACAAAATTGTCAATAGTGCAGACAGTGTGATCATCTCCTAGAACATCCAAGAAACTAAACTGACAAACTATTTGAATTATAGTTTAGCAAAGTAGCCAAATGCAAGATACAAGAAAATCAGAAAAGTCAATAGCATTTTTCTGAAGGTATTTTAGGCCTATTGTTGTACAATTCCCAAAGAAATAGCTCTAGCTGAAGCACTGTGTCCACATTTCCTTGCTCAAACTACATCTCCTAGCTAAACAAAATTCATGAAGAAAGAGTAAATGCTTCCAGATACCTACTTCATCCAGAGAGGTGAGAAGATGAATGGTTTTTACTTTACATGGTCTCTTAATAAGCATCTCACAAAATCGAAGAAAGTTATACAGCTGAAAGACATCATGACGGGTTATTACTAACTCATACATTTTAAGTAACATTTCATCATATTTTTCTGCATTTCACCTACCTGATGAATCTGTCTAATATAAGGATCTTGTATCCAAACTTCTGTGACTGTTTCATTAAGATATTCTTGAAAAAGTGACTCGTAACTGAAACCTGTTGCATTCTCTTCTATTTTAATCTGCCGATGATATTTTCCATCTAAAAAACACAAGTTTCAATAATAAAACCAGTGACAATTTATTTTCTTTTTATACTATTTACATATAGTGATTAATCAGGATCAGATACAAGTTAATTTTTTTAACTCCTCCACTCAGCAAACATTTCTGAATGCCTCCTACATATATACGAGGCACAATGCAAGATGCTATATGTACAGAAATAAATAAGGCAAAGAATTCCATAAGTGAGTTCTGCCTTCATGGAGGTCAAATGGGAAAGTCCAGGGATTTCTTGGAAGAGGTTCTTGAGCTGAATCCTATAGACCAGGCAGTTTATTCAAGAGAAGTCTATATGTATAATGACAGCTGATAATTCTGTCACCATGAGTAGAACCATAAGCTATATAACTCAGTGGCTATGTGGTCCTTCTCTTCAGATATAAGTCTTTCTGTGTCCTGCAATTTAACGGCTAAAGTATTAAACATATAAATACATGGAATTTAGAAGGCTTTCTTAGAACTTATAAAGTATTTAAATTTTTTTTGATGTTTTTATTTATTTTTGAGACAGAGAGAAACCGGGAGCTGGAGAGGGGAAGACAAGGAGACAGGAACCAAAGCCAGCTCCATGCTGACAGCAGAGAGTTGATGTGGAGCTCGAATTCATGAGCTGCGAGATCATGACCTGACCCGAAGTTGGACACACAGACAACCGAGCCACCCAGATGCCCCATAGAGTACTTTAAGTAGTAATTTTAGCACTTCTTAACAACCCAAGACTAGGATTGCACAGGGTCAGTAAAACAGTTCCATAGTTTTTGTTCATTCAAAACGAATGATTATTGAGTAAGTTATCAAAGATCTTTAAGATTTTTTTAAAAACATGACCCCTAATGGTAGTTCCTAATTTATGTGATGGTTGCCAATTTAAAGTTTGTTTAAAAAACAGTAGTTTGGATTTTTTTCCTAGTATTTCCACAGATATGATGTTACTAGCAACTATGCATCAGTTTTCAAGCCAAGCTACCCACAAAGGTTAACTTAACCCAATGTATTCAAACCACAATGCTGATGGTACTCTATTTCATCAATGTTTTAAAAGGAAATTTCATTGTGAGTTTCAATTTGGGGTGAAGGAAATACAATTTTATTCCCACTCAACAGAGGAGCTCGCTGGGGCGGGGGGTACCCAGGGTAGGGGCTCATATGGAATACTAGGAAGAGGTAGGGGAGGGCCATATAAGGATAGCAAGGAAGAGCAGCTGAGGTCTGGAGGCACTGGTTTTTTGAGGACAGTAGTAACTTTGGCTAAAAAAAAGTAGGATTATGCCAGGCAAAGGTGGTAATGACCAATTATAGACATATGTTTGTAAACTGGATGCTCATAAGTAGATTAATAGTAAGTAGGGAAGGACAACTAGTGGCATCTCTAGTCATTAGGAATACTTCACTCCTGAAATGTTTTGGTTCACAGCAAAATCCTAAAGAAGTCCCAGGAGTTTCCTTAGCTACTTTAACATTTTGGTCATTTTAGAAAGTGAAACAGAAATAAAATACAGGATTTACATTTCCTATTTCTGCATAGTATTATTTCAACTCCAGTCCACACATAAGCTTCATAAGGATCTGCAGTGAATTCCTTAAAATGGCATGCAAAGTTCTGCAGTATGTATAGCTTTCATCAGATATTCTCAAGAGGGTGTGTGAAAATCACCTCCCCACCTAAAAGGGTTAAGAATATAGATTATATATAGGGACATGGAAATGCAGAATAAAACTATAGGCTCCCAGGGATAAATGGTCCAGACCACAAAGAGTTACAAAAGGCAGAGCCAGAAACACTGGATGAAATGGGCTTTGTCACACTTACTTATGGACACATTCTATAAAACAGCCTCTTTACCTTCTTTTTCTTGATCCGTGTATTTCTTCACTATTTCTGCTCTATCCATGTAGCTAGAAATTTGTTTTCTGAGATTATATTTCTTTGTAACATCTTTGGTGCCTACAAATTAAAAAAATACACTCTCAAATTTCCAAAAAGTTTTTCTATTTAAACAGGCATTATTTCCAGTTTCCCAACTCTTCCACAAATTTCCTGTCCTATTTAGCATGGTTTGCCTCAATCCTCAAATACACAAATGGGCTCAAATTTGGTTTGATCACCAAGACCTCCATTTTTGCACTAAGCATCTGAAACAGCTTTATTTAGGAGTGGGAACTCTGACACTGTGTCTCACTGCTGGGGATACCAAATTTGATGAGGTGATGACAAAGGTGGCTTATTTTCAAACCTGAGTCTGAGAACCATTTCGTCCTAATCAACCTTAAGTCTGAAATCTTAACAAAATCAAAACACAGGAAACAATACCTATCTTTCTTCCACAAAACCAGCTTCTCTTCCAGACTTACCCATTATAGTTCATGCTCAGTCTTTTTCCCAGTCACCCAAAAAATATAAGGTATTTTTTGAATACATATTATCAATAAAACCTTACCCCAAGTCCCTCGCCCCTAAATCACTTCTGGTTCCCTCATTCCTTCTTTTTGCTATTACTTATATTTTCCATAATAATTTCATTTTTAAACTCCCACTTTTTAACAACATTTTACTTTGAATTCGTTTTATATTTATGGAAAAGCTGCAATAATGGCACACAGTATCCTTTCACCCAAACTCCCCTAATGTTAACATATCATGTGAATATGCTACAATTATCAAGGTTAGGAAATTAACATTGATACAACATTACTAACTCATCCACAAACCTTATTTGTATTCCACCAATGTTCCCACTAGAGAAAAAGAAAGTTCATTTTCTGGTCCACAATCCTGCACAGCATTTAATTGTCATGTTTCCTTAGTCTCCTCCAATCTGAAATCGGTCCTTAGCCTCTCTACCTTTTATGATTTTGACATTTGGGGAAACAGTGCAGTGGTCAGTTATTTTGTAGGATGTCTCTCATTTGGGGCTGTTGGTGTTTTCTCATGATTAGATTGAGGTTATGCATTTTGGGGAAGAAAATCATGAAAGCATGCCCTTCTCGGTACATGATGTCAATATATGTTATTACTGGTGAGTTCAAAGATCACTCCACTGTAAAATCACTATTTTGTCCTTCATAATTGATAAGTATCTTGTGGGAAGATATCCTGTTTCTCATCACTCTTTCACCCCCTAATTTTAGCATCCATTGATAGTCCTTGCCTGCAACAGTTATCACTGCAGTGTCTGTCAAACAGGGATTTTCTATTTCCATCATTCCTAATTAATTTATAAACTGGAATGCTACTATAAGGAAGAGCTGTCCATTCTCCCCCATCTATTTATTTATTGAGTGATCAATTTGTATCAGTATCGACTCATGCATATTTATTTTATTTTATGGGTTGTAATCCAATACTATTGTTTTTTTAAGTTTTTATTTAAATTCCAGTTAGTTTACAGTATAATATTAGTTTCGGGTGTATGATATAGTAATTCAGCACTTCCATACATCACCCAATGGCCATCACAAGTGCACTCCTTAATCTCTATCCCCTATTCTCTCATCCCCCTACCCATCTTCCCCTGGTAACCATCAGTTTGTTCTCTATAGTTAAGAGTCTGTTTGTTTCTTGGTTTGCCTCTCTCTCTTCTTCCCTTTGCTCATTTGTTTTGTTTCTTAAATTCCACATATAAGTGAAATCATATGGTATTTGGCTTTCTCTGTCTTATTTCACTTAGCGTAATACTCTCTAGTTCCATCTATGTTGCTGCAAATGCAATATTATTATCTTGCCCTAACTTTATCAGCTTTGGCTTTGAGAGCTCCTGCATGTTGGCTGACCCCTGTACTTTCAACATGACCCATTATATTTTGAGCACTTCCTTGCTTTCTGGTGCAAAATGTTCTAAACTCATCTTGTATTTTCCCTGCCCCAGCCCTGGAATCAACCATTTTTCCAAAGCCCTAAGTTCCTTTTATTGGAGAATGGTATGAAGAAATCCAATTCTGGGTGCTGAGTATACTTGCTGCCACTAGGGGAGTCCTGTCACTACTTCCAGATCCTTTCAATTTGTGGCTAGAAAGTAAATATATATAGGGTTACTAACACACACATATATCTGCCTTTATTTCCGTGTCTACACATCTGTATATATATTAAAAACCATAAGTTCATGATGATAACTTGGATCCCACAGGGTTCATACTAGCCTTATCTCCTTATGTGTAACTTCTTTTATTATCCACAATATATATACTGGCTTATTCAAGACTCATATAAAGTAGTTTCTACCTCTGGGAGAAAAACATTTACCAAGTAAAACACAATGTTTGTATATAATTCATTTTGTCTTTAACCTTACAGAATATGGTCAAAATACTATTTTCCAGAGATAATTGAGTTACCTATTTTCTTGTCCACCTGCTTCTGTATCACAGTTGAATAATTCAGAGCAGCATTATTCCTTCCTCATCTTGCTACCCCATTCCCATTCCTTCCTTCTTTGTACCTCTTTTCCACCACCCCACAAACCTCATTAGTTTCTGTTTTTATCCTTCCTTTGTTTCGAACAAATGAGGAGACACATGAATATCTTCCTTTTTACATGAAGGATAGCATACCACAGATCTCTTTGTCCTTTGTAGTTTTCACCTAACAGTGTATCCTGGAAATCACTCCATATCGCTTCCACAGATCCTCATTGTTTTTTACAGCAGTATAGCACTCCATTGTGTGGATGTACCACACTTTATTCAACCTCTCTTCTTCCCAGGGTATTCAGGTTGTTTCCAACATTTTATTGATATCACTATGGGGCGCCTGGATGGCTCAGTCGGTTCAGCGTCCGACTTCGGCTCAGGTCATGATCTCGCGGTCCGTGAGTTCAAGCCCCGCGTGGGGCTCTGTGCTGACAGCTCAGAGCCTGGAGCCTGTTTTAGATTCTGTGTCTCCTCTTTCTTTCTCCTTCCCCGCTCATGCTCTGTCTCTCTCTTCTCAAAAATAAATAAATGTTAAAAAAAAATTATTGATATCAATATAATTACTGAATTCTTTTCTTTTCAAGTCCTTCTACTTGAAAATTAGTATCAAGATCCCTACTGTCTCATGCCTATACTTCAGTAGCTTAAGAAAATCCTTATCTATCCATTTATAATCTATAAATCTCTTGTGAGGAATCCTGTTTTTGCTCCTAAGGTGATATGAGAACTCATATTCTTCCACTAGGTTTATATACATTTCTTTAAACCCAAAAACCTTGAACTGGTCTTTTTATCAGGATTAAGCATTTTATGGTCTCTGTTACAAAGAGGCAGTGTGAACAGTGGTTAACAGCAAAGCATCTGGAGTCAGATGGTTTTAGTTCAAAACTTGCTCTGCCACTTTTGCTGTGTGACCATGGCCAGTTATTCAACCTGTCTGTATCCTCAACTGTAACACGCAAAGAGAAATTGTTCCTTAGACAGGGAGATGATTAATGATCAAAGAGACTGGCTTGTAGGAAATAATAAATTTTGTTAATATCATTATCACCTACATAATTTTTTTCATTCACCATACTCTGGGCTTCCTTTAGAACCAGACTATAATATCTCTTTTCTTAAATTCCACTATTACTTTGCGACTGCCTATAAATATACTCTATTTTCTCTGTCCTCTGTAAATAAAGTAGTCCTTTTTAACGATCACCCTCGATCAGCTGGCAGAATTTAACAATGTAGACCCATTCCTCAAACATCACATCTCAGTTTCCTAGGCTTACTTACAGCAGGTTGGATTCCACTGAACCTCACTCCCACATCTAGTCATGTCCTAATGCCAATTATTCAATATCCAGACTGTCTCCTCCTTTCTTAATATTGGTGTCACCCCTCTGGTTCCTTCAGGCCCTTCTCACCTCTCATCTTGATTCCTGCAGAAGCTCCTCGATTGGTCTGCTTTACTTCTGTCTCTTCAGGTTAGTATCTCCCCCACTCTTGCCATATTCACTCATTTATTCAAGAATTATTTACTGAGAACTTACCACATGCCAGACATTGTTCTAAGCACTGGGGCTACAGCAGTTAATAAAACAGACATGATTATCCCCTATCATTCAAGTGGGAGGAAAGACAACAATAAAAGGAAGTTGGTAAAATATTTATGTTAGATTGTGATAAGTACTATTAAATAAAATAAAACAAGGAAGAAAACAAGGGAGTCCTGGGATGGGGTTGTAACTTTACACAGGACGTCAGGAAAGGCCTCACAGTGAAGGTACTATTTATATAAAAAACTGAAAGAGAAGAGGGAGTATGCTATGCAGATATTTGGGAGGAGAGCATATTCCTAATAGAGACAAGCCCTGACATGCAACTCTAATTACATCACTCCTTTATAAAAACTTTAAATGGTTTCTCCTTGTCTATGGAAGGAGTTAAAATCTCCTGGCAGTGAAGGTCATCCACACCACACCTCAATCTACTTTACTTCTCACTCTTCTTCTAGAGACACACAATGAACCAAAGTGAACCACTTATTTGGTAAAAATAGCACAAACAGAATTTAAACACTCTGCGGAATTTCATTTCTGAAATTCTACTTATTCCTCAAAAGCCACCTCCACCTTTCCTCCCCCAAATGACCTTTAACTATTTAAATCCTCATTGTCCATCTCTCTCTCCTGGCACTTATTTCCTGTACTAGAGTTATTTGCATTTGTATCTTAACCTGTAAGATCAGGTCACTGTCTCTATATAACCTCTGTAGAATCAGTAGAGCACACAGGAGCAAAACTATAGTTCTCCTGATTCAGATTCCCAGAATGCCAGAACTTGAGTAGTGCTTGACCTGACAACCCTAGAGCACTGGAACTTAAGCAATGATCCACCTGACCAACACTGTACACCCTCTCTTTTTTTGGCAGTCAGTATACCAGAGTCTTTAAAGCCTTGGGCTCCCAATTTTGACTAACTGTGGTGGAACTGAAAAGTTTAATTTTATGCTGTACAATGAGGATAACATCAGCTCCTACTTCTCAGGGCAATTGTAAAGATGAAACAAGATCATGATGTTCATGTGCTCTGACAGTGCCTAGCACTCAGCACTCATAAAAGATAATTACTTTCCTCCATCATCATCATCTCCTTCTTCTTCTCCATCATCATCATCTTCATCTTCATCATCATCTGGGCCTTCCCAAAGTAGTTTTACTACTAAAGCCCCCAACCCTGAAAAGCGCCCTCTGCTGTCCAAAAGCTTCTGTAATACTTAGGCTAAAAGGCACACAGGGGAGATCTTCGGCCAGACTGGGAGCTACAGGGCGTGGGGACCAGGAACTTAAATCAGTTTAATACATAATCACTGAGTGTCTACTATGTGCCAGAGATTGTACCGGTTGTTAATGGTTATTTGGGTACTTCTCAACATTGAATAACTATATTAACAGATCAAGTTTCGCTGTGCCCACCCACAATCCTATGTATTTCTCACAACGAATTTCAGTACACCCGTTATTTAAGGTGTACTTAAAGGTACTTAAGGTATTCTACCGCTATGTGATTTTATTTTTGTTTACTTCTAACGAAAATATCTAAACATAAAAGCAAAGATAATAGTGTAACGAACACCCTTATTACCGATCACATAGATTTAAGAATTGCTAGAATTCTGCCACATTTGCTCCGGGTCCCCCCCCCCTTAAAATTAAATTCAGACATTATGACAAATTCTTCCCAAGACACAAAGTCAATAATTTGTTACCCAATCCATATTCAAACTTTCCAAAAAGGATCCAAAAATGTATTTTTACATTTCTTTCGAACCTGAGTCCTATCAAGGCTTATATATTTAGATTTGATTCTGTCTCTTCAAAATCTAGAGTACTGACCCTGTCTTTTTTGATGACATCAATCTAAAAGAAAACAGTCCACTTGTCCTGTAGAATATCAACCTTCTGTTTGTGACTGCTTCCTGGTGGTGTACAAGAAGGGTTTTTAACTTTCACTCCCCAGAAACTGCGGATCCAGTTCCTTTCCTCTGGTATCCTCTCCACGGCTCCCTGCTCACCTCTCAGGACCTGCATGAGCAGGTCAATCCCCTCCTGGTAACACACCAGAGCCTGCTGGTACCGGGACTCCGAGTCCAGTTCCATCGCCCGCTTTAGCACCTTGAATGCAGCTGTGCTTTCGGCTTCCTGCTCCTGTCCGGATCTCGCCATAGTTACAGAAACTCCTCTCTGCTTCAAACACAACCAGAGCTGAGCCAGCCGCTGCCGCGCCGGGGACGTGAGGTGGGAGGGGGGAATAACGTGACAGACCTGCGCCTGCGCTCTCTTTTTATGGCCTTGAAGGGGCGGGACGTGGCCGGAACTAAAGTGCCGGGCTTGACTATGAGTACGCTATATGACGGCCAGGTTTGTGTGTTGCGCTTCGTGGGCACCCGTCTGCTCTGCTTCCCCTCGGTGAGTAAGGTCAGGCTGAAGAATATTTAGGAATATTGCATTTTTGCCAGGAGTGGGTACCTGGGAACGCCGTGGAGATGTGGATTGATTTTCCTATTGGATTCTGAGTTTGCGGGTCGTAATAACCTAAATGAATTTGCGCCCGTTCACTGTCCCTTGGGATCGCGAAAAGCCAATGGTCGAGCGGATCCGGTTTCCCAGTTCCGGAGCCGCGCGGCTTGCTAAGCCCGGCTCTGGACCCGCCTAGGCAAGATAGTTTAGTGGGGCAGGGAATTCAGGGTTGTTTTGGCAGTTTTTGTGCTTCTGTTTATAACTAATTTCGGTTTCCCACTGGGGATCCGCGTAACTTGAATTTTTTGTTAATGAGGATAAAAGCTTGCTAATTGCATCTTTGAAGGCAACACCTTCGGGAGTTTGCAGTTAAAATATTTACCATTTTACTAAAAGCTGTAATTTTGCAATCATGTTTTTGATCGCCGCCTACCCATAGCTGCCTGTTTTGCATATTTTCGCCAACAGGCGCGGATGAAGACTGCCTGTTACTTTTTAGGCGTTAGGAATTAAAAGAGACATTTTTTGCGTTCAGAGATATCGGTTAATTGAAAGGAAAATTCTGTGTTGTGCGTTTTCAGTGTTTTCCTTCCTTTTGTCAGTAAGTAGGTGTCTAAAACTGTTCGGATATTAACTGGGGGCAAAAAGTAGAAAATCACCTTGGTAGCCTTCCCCCCATGGGTATGTTTATATTTTACTGATAGCTTTCCAGAGTTTTTCTGTGTATACGTATACAGTCACAGACATTTTCTTAATGGAAAAGGGATCATACTTCTCATGATGCATGTGTTTTCCTATTTTTGCAAAAGAAAAGCTACTGTACAGAAGACAGTATAGTTGCTTCAAGGTCCAAGAGTTGTGTGAATAATTGTTAACATTAACCTTTATTTTTTATTAAAACTTACAACTTTTCACTGTCACACCTTCTGAAGTCTGTAAATTAAACTTAATTCAGCAGAAATTGATAACGCACCTACTACACAACAGGTGCTGCTCTTGGTAGATGCTTGGGATACATCTGTGAATAGATAGGGCACACCAAGAAAAAAAATTTTTTTTTTTAATTTATTGTCCTTGCGGAGTTAACATGTTACTGGGTGGAGACAGACAGTAAGCAACAAACCTAACAAACTATGTTAGAAGAGAAGTGCTATGGAAACAAAATCCAGTGGAGTGAGGAGTGCTGACAATTGTGGGGGGTCAAAATGTTAAACAATGGAATCAGGATAGACCCCACTAAGAAGAGATTTGAGCCAAAAATTGAAGCAATAAGGGAACTAACTATATAAATATCAGGAGCATTCCAGAAGAAAAAACAGTCAGTCCAGAGGAGCTTGTCTGCCTGGCAACTTCTAGGACCTGTAAGGGTGTCAATGTGTGTATCCAGTGAGCAAGGGAGCAGTTGGAGACGAAGTCCTAGAGGTAGGGGTTACGGACTGGCTATTGCTCTGAGACATTGGAGGTTTTGGTTTTTTAATAAATAAGCTTTTTATTTTAGGATAACTTTAGGTTTACAGAAAAGTTGTGAAAATAGTAAAGTTCCTATATACCCCACATCCTATTTCCCCTTTTATTAACATCTTACATTAGTATGGTACATTTGTTAAAATTGATGAACCAGCATTATTACACTGCTAACTAAAGTCCATATTTCATTCGAATTTTCTTAGTGTTTACCAGATGTCCTTTTACCCCATTTACTTAGTAGTCATGTCTCCTTAGGCTCCTCTTGACTATGGCAGTTTCTCACTTTCCTTGTTTTTGGTGATTTTGACAGTTTTAAGACAGTCAGGTATTTGAAGACATACTCCCATCATTTTGAGTTTTTAAGTAGTTCGTTTCTAGTGCTACAAAGTGCTCCAGGTTCATCTTAATATATTCACTGCAGTAGCCCTATGATTAGCCATTTCTCAAAGGAGCCCTGGTTCCTTTTATTAGAGAATGCTAAGATCAGGTGCTGAGTGTGTTCGTTGCTACTGGGATGCCATTCAGCTAACAGAGCTAACCCATGTATATATACATTCATACCTGTGATTATTTCTATATCCATCAGTATCTATATTAAGCTAAACATGAGCTCAAACTCTCAACTTGTATCATTGAATCACATGGATTATTCTAGCTTTCTCCTCTTATATGTTACCTTTCACTTCAACAGTGAGAAACCTGGCTCATTGATTGGAATGTTTGGGGAAGAGGAGTTGACATGATTTGATTTGGGATTTTAATGAAATGGTTGCTGCTATGGAGAAGAGAGCTTATGGAAGTTGGACTGGAAAGTGGAAGGCCCCTTAGGAGGCTTTTGCTGAAATCTAAATGATAAGAGAAAAGTAAAAAAATGTGAAGCCAAATGAATTGGGTTAATATATAATGTTTAACTTAGGAGGAAGAAGTATGGTAGAGAAAATAATTTATCGTTACCTATTTGATTGCAGAGCCAGAGGATTAAATAAGCATCTCTTCTAAGGAAGCATCGATACAAAATATATATAAACAACCAGCCAAGCAATGGCTGATGATTTGCACTAGATACTGATTTGAACTAGAAATTCTTATGCTGTATAGTAATCTTTGAAGTCTGAATGAGAGTTATGAAATTTTGATATACTTCTGAATTCTGAGTTGAGCAGATCATAGTTCTAACCCATTAATTGATTCAAACATTCATAAACAAACACTGGGTGCCTACTGTTCATCAGATGCTGTGCTAGATGCTGAGAGTAGAAAATGAACAAGATAAAATTCTGGCTTTCATGGCATTAAGGATTTAGTAGTTGACTCTTCTAAAACTGATGCATAATTAATTTTGAGAGACTGGTTTAGTTGCTGAGAATTTTTCAAAAGTCTTGGCTCTTTTAATGGGACATCTTGCGTTGATTCCCACAACTTCATTGTTTTTTCCACATCACAGGAAAGACTTGACGAGCTTGAGTGAGCCAGAATCTGGTGGATTCACTGAAGTACAGCATTTACCCAATTTTAGTGTGTTAGGGTATTCTTATTACAACTTTGTAATAATTTCATAATAGTAAAAGCTACCATTTGTTGAGGGCTTCCTATGTACTAAAAACTGTTTTAGGTGTTTTTAGAATGATTCATTTGGAAAGTAGGTATTATATTCTGTCCTTTTGAAGAAGAATTGAAACACACAAATTAAGTAACCTATGAAAAATGTACATGTAGTTCATAAACCTTATCTTTCTGCTTTTGTATACATCAGTATAATTGGTTGTAATTATTGCCTGTCTAAATAAACATGACTTTTTTACATCATAGAAGCAATGCATATTCATTAAGAATAGTTTAAAAATACAAGTATTCAAGAAAGAAAGTTATAGTTTACTTTTTAACAGAAAGGTATTATGATTTAGTGAAAATGCACTGGAGTAGGAATTACGAGAATTGGGTTCCAAACTATATGCTCCTTGGATAAGCTGGATGCCCTTTGATTGGATTGGATTGGATTGAAGGTGGATGCCCTTCAATATGAATGAATTTTCATTTTCCACATACATAGGCTAAGGTGGTCAATTCTAGAGGCACCTGGGTGGCCCAGTTAGTGAAGCATCCACCTCTTGATTGCTCAGGTCATGATCCCAGGGTTTTGGGATCCAGCCACGCACTGGGCTCCGTGTTGAGCTTTTGTGATTCTCTCTCTCTCTCTCCCCAGCTTACTTGCTCACTCTCAAAATACATAAATAAACATTTTTTCTTTTTTTTTTTTTTTTAAAGAAGGTTGTCAATTCTCATTCTAGGAGTCTAGATTTCTTCAGTCCCTTCTAGTCCTTTCATTTTGTGATTTTATAACAAAGCATTCTTTATCTGTGCTCTTTGGTGAAGAAATTAAGTAGTAGTGATTTCTTTGCCCATTTTTGTTGAATCAACCTAGTTTCTAACTCATCTGGCAAAAATGGAATGTGATTAATGTATAATTGCTACATATGGTTTTGCTGAATTCTGAATAAAACATTTATTATAACTTCTTAGTCTTATTGCATTAAAATAACTAGGATTTTACTGTTAGACTTCAGTCAAGTTCATAATTAACTTCTTTAGGTTTTTAATAATATGTAAGTAGGCACCTGTCCATTTCCAATACATATTTGACCCATGGATCTGTTTTATGCTTGTCATAGCCTTTGAAGAGAACAGTCACCACACTCATGGCAGGGATTTTGCGCTCAATAGTTCAGAAGCCCCCAGGTGGACTCCAAGTAAGTATTTCTTTTCAAGTATCATCTTTCTCTCTTTTTTTATTCCTTAAGAGTGATTTCTCTCTCTTTTGTAATTAACAAAACAAACAGGCAAGTTAAACTGTACAAGTTCCTTTTTTTATATAGTGTTTTTTAATGTTGAAGAGCAGTTTTATTTATGATTTATGATCGGCTGTTTTATCACTAAAAATTTAAAAACACAAAAGATCTTTTCCTGGAAAACATGCTGGTAAAAAATGGCCACTGTTGATTCCCCTTAATCTTTTTAAAGTTTTAGGTTTTTCCCTTCAATTATGAAAAGAGTATATTTCCAATCATAGAAAAATATGGAAGAGCAGAAAGAAGAAAAGCCCTCTCCCAGAGATCACTAGTGTTTGTATTTTCATGTAATTCCTTCTATTCTTTCTTACAGAAATTGTAGCAGTACAGCCTAACCCATTCATGAGGGCCAGAGTCTAGATACAGACCTGCTGCTGGCCATACATTGGTGCTGGCCAGTACATTGCCTTAACCTTAGATTAATCCTGTGTGATCAGTATTATTTCCTTCTTAAATAGCTGAGGAAATTGACTCTCTGAGAGGATAAGTGTCTCATTTCTCACAAATGGTGAGCACAGAGCCAGGATTAGAAGCCCATGTTTTTCCTTTCTCTCCCTCATTCACTCCTACTTACTGTCTAGTTGTTTGTGGATCTCTGCAGGACAGAGAGGGCATGAAAGGAATGATTATTGCCCATCCAGAGGGGAGTTTCCTGATGGGAAGGATTGGCAGTGAATCCTTTTTCTTTAGCAGACTGAGAGCAACAGGACTGGAAGATTGTAGAAAGGGAATAAGAAATAGAAACTAGGAGTGTTGGCATTGTAGGGACTAGAAATAAAATTGGCACCTCCTTTTCTTTTACATTGTATTGGTGAAGGTAAATTATTGCACATTGTCTAGAGCAGGCATTGGCAAACTACGGCCTGCAAGTCAAATTCAGTCCACCTATTTTTGTAAATCAAGTTTTATTAGAACATAGCCATGCCTATTTGTTTACATATTGTTTGTGGCTGCTTTTACCTTACAGTGGCAGAGTTGAGACTTGACAATGGAAACCATACAGCCCTAAAGCTGGAAATATTTCCTGTCTTGTCCTTTATAGAAAAATATTGCCCACCCTGGTCAAGAAGTCTATATTTGACTCATATATGGAATTTAAGAAACAAAACAGATGAACATAGGAGAAAAAAGAAAAAAAGAGAGGCAAACCAGAAAACAGACTCTTAAGTATAGGGAACAAACTGAGGGTTACTGGAGGGGATGGGAGCGGGAGGATGGGCTAGATGGGTGATGGGTACTAAGGTGGGCACCTGTCGTGATGAGCACTGGGTGTTGTGGAAGTGGGAATCACTAAATTCTACACCTGAAACTGATATTACACTGAATGTTAACTGGAATTTAAATAAAAACTTGAAAAAAAAAGAGAAGTCTATATGTGCTTTTTGCTTTATAACGTTAGTGGTAAGGTGAGATGTATTCATTCAGCTAAGGAGCTGAGATAAAGGTTTGATAATTATAGGTTAAATAAAAACAGACTTTTGTCACCTAAAAATTGGTGAGTATAGATTTCTGCACTAGCCAGAGTTTTTTAAAAAATGTTTTCTGTCATGTTTAGACTGTAACAAAAGGTGTGGAGTCTCTCATTTGTACAGATTGGATTCGTCACAAATTTACCAAGTCAAGAATTCCAGATAAAGTAAGAACAAGGGTTTGGTGGGGTGGGGGTTAGCGTTACTATTTTTTTAAGCATGTTATGTTTTCAAATGGTACCTATTTGTGTAATATTGAAAACTTTTACATTGAATTATTTGTGGATGTCCATGGTAGTATAGAGTTTAAATAACACATGGTAGAATTTATCTAGGTAATGATTCTTTTTTTTTTTTTTTTAATGTGCCACTGGCCTTTGAAGTAGTGGGGTTTTATCATCTTAGTACCTGTTTATTCCCGCTTATGATTTTTGCCTTAATATTTTGTGTTTTCATATCACCATTATCCTCAGGAAAACAGTGGGTCTTCCTCCGGCTCAGACTCTGTCTCTGTGCTTCTTTGTGTTCACTTTATATATTGAGTATTGCAACTTGGGATCTTTGCGTTTTCTTTGCTATACTTATGTGTACATATCATACTTTTGGAAAACACTGGCTAAGCCCCCTATTAACTTCTGTTTTATTTTGTTTAAATGAATAGACTTTATTTCTTACAGCAGTTTTCGGCTTATAGAAAAATTGAACAGAAAGTACAGAGAGTTCCCATATACTCCCTCCCCCAACATATATAGTTACCCTATAATTAACATTTTGTATTGGTACATATTTGTTAGAATTGATGGACCAGAATTGACAGATTATTATTAACTAAAGTCCTTAGATTGGATCGGGGTTTACTATCAGTGTTACACATTCTGTGGCTTTTGACAAATGCACAGTGTCCTGGGTCATTAGGGAATCATACAACTAGTTTCATTGCCCTAAAAATCCTCTGTTCTCACCTGTTCATCCCTCCCTCTCATTTCCCAACCCCTGGAAACCACTGATATTTTTCCTGTTTTTATAGTTTTGCCTTTTCCAGAATTCCTTATCGTTGGAATGATGCACATGTAATCTTTCAGACTGGCTTCGTTCACTTAGCAATATGCAGTTAAGGTTTCTTGACATCTTGCCACCAGGATTGCTAGCTTTTTGTTAACTATACTTAGTCAAAAGAATGATAAATTGTGAGTTAGCTAAAACATATCTGGATAGAGTTAAGGAAAAACACGAATTTGAAAGATCAAGTTATTTTCCATTCAAGTGGCTGGGGACTCAGAAATCAAACAAGTTTCTGGAAATAATGAAAGTTGCATTTTTATAACCTGAGTTGTGTGGCTATGCAGTTCATTTCTTTTTATTACAAATAATATTTGGCTTTATGGATATACTGTAGTTTGTTTAGCCATTCATCTCCTGAAGGACATCTTAATTGTTTCCAGTTCTTGACAGTAGTGAATAAAGCTGCTGTAAACATTTGTGTGCAAGTTCTTGTGGGGACATAAGTTTTCAACTCATTTGAGGTAAGTACCTAAGAATGCAGTTATGCAGTTGATGGAATATATGGAAAAGACTACATTTAGTTTTTAAAGTCTGGGTTTTTTTGTGTTTTTTTTCCCCCAGTTTTTTGTATTGCAGCAAAATATATATACAGTGTACTGTCTCAACCATTTTTAAGTGTACGTTACAGTGTTATTAAATACATTCATATTGTTGTGCAGTCCTCACACCATCCATCTCCAGAACTCTTCATCTTACAAAACTGGAACTCTGTACCCATTAAATAATAACTCCCCAATCTCTTTTCCCCAGCCCCTGACAACTACCATTCTCCTTTGATTTTTTTTAAAGATAAAATAGTGTTACCATTGACTATTTTGACACCTTTAATATGCTTGATGTTCTTATATCAGAAACCTCTTTATTTTTCAAGTCATGGCTTTGCTGCTGCTATCCTTTCCACAACTGTATTGTCTTGTATCTTTTCGTGTTTCTTAGTCTGTAAAGTTCTAGAATAAAAGGATAGATACAGACGTTAGCATTCCTTTAAAATGTGTAAGGCATTGATTTTGATTGTCAGCTGTAGCAAATATGAAAATTCAAACTTCATGGAAATGATTCTGAGATGTGTATCTCCAGCCCATGCCTATCTCCTGAACTTATTCCTTTATTCTCACATGTTCCTAGACCCTGCCTTGTGGATAATGCAGAGGTATTTCAGGTTAAGCATATTTAGAATCAAACTTGTCTTACTTCCCCTCCAAACAACCAAATGAAATAGGATGCTCGTCCTGTATTAGTTATATCAGTTAATGCTACCATCCTTTATCTGATTTCCCAAATCAGGGTGGAGATGTGTCCATCTCAACCCCTCCATTTCCTCCATTCACCACAAATGCATCTATTTTACTGTCCAGAGTCCCCAAATGAGTCCCTTTTCTGTTGCAGCTACTGTAGTTCAGGCTCTTAAACCAGGGCTGCAAGTTTCCTGGTACCAGTCTCCCATTCCCACTTCATTTTGTCCTCTTACAAGTATATTCTTTCTGAGTCCCTTAAAATTGTAGTCATATTGCTTCAAGTCTTCAAGAGCTCTGTATCCCTTCTGGAAGTTTCTGAAGGCCCAGCACGGTTGAGCAATTTAACTTCATCCTCTACATTGCTTTCTGTTTTTTTTCTACTTGAGCCACACATTTACCCTTGGTTTTCCCAGATATTTTGTGCTCTTTACACTGTTTCTTTAAATCTTTGTTTTTCTTCAGCATGCCTGCCCCATCCTCTGTTTACCACCATTCTTCTCACCCTGCATCTCTTCAAAACCCCTAGAAAATACAAATGAGCAAAAAGAGCAAAAAGACACCCTTAATCCCACCACCTGGAGACAGCTTCCATATCCTTTTCTGTTATATGTTTTTAAAGATGTGAATCATCTCATGTAAAATGCTTCTTTAGCTGCTGTCTTCATTTAGCAATATAATGTGAACCTCTCAGCAGATAAGTTTCTACAATATTATTTTATAATTAAATAATACCCTTTTTGATCAAAGTGCCACCATGTGTGTGTGTCCGTGTGTCCATGTCCTTCCTTGGTCTGATTTCCCAGAGGTGATATGACTCGATCTAATGTCTTTGAGACCTTTATACATATATAAGTGTATGTATATGCACATATGTATATTACATGATTCTTAGAATTAGTCGTTATGTAGTGTATCCTGTGTACACACTCATGTACTTGGTACAGATGAAACAAATATGAGATCCTACTACACATAGTGGTGTGGAATTATTTTTTTCTCAAGAATGTATTATGGCCATCCTTCAATGTTAGTAGCTGCTAAGATAGTTAACCTTATTGGTTTTTATGGCAGCATTGTATCCCATGGGATACATCATAATTTATTCAGTTGTATCATATATTACTGGTTTTATTATTTTGTACTAGTTTTAATTCAAATGTATGCCTTGTAATTCCATTTAGTTATTCTACGAGGAACATGGATGTGGCCTTTAAATTTTTCATTATTACAAATAGTATTACCATGTACCTCTTTATTTAGTACATTTTATATACTCAGGGAAGTTTTTTGTGTGATAGCTTACTAGAACCTTTTGATTTTTTAGAGAATCAGTATTAATGTCAGCTCTCTTGAGCTGTTTCTGACCCTTTGTAGGCAGTCATTTGTACTAACACATACTCACGTGTTGTCATTGTAAGCTTATCTTTGATGCCCTGCCTGAATGGGGTGGAGGGATGCTACTGTGCCCTGCTTATCTGGTGCTAATACAGTCTCCTGGCATTTGAACTCTTTAATGTCCTTTGGTTACTCCCGCTTTGCTCTTAAAACAAAACAAAACAGTCTTTGCCTGTGTGATTTTTTTTTTTTCAGAGTATGCAATCCTTAGACTTTGTCTGAATAATCAGTTTGAAGATGAGGATTTCAGAAGGATTGGGGATGAGATCGTTATGTAGATTTTGGGGGGTGGTTAAGAAAGGAAAAGGAAATACATAGAAACTGTGTAATTGAAAACTTACCATTTATAATTCTTTCCTAGGTATTTCAGCCTTCACCTGCAGATCATGAAAAATATGGTGGGGATCCACAGCACCCTCATAAACTGCATATTGTTACCAGAATAAAGAGTACAAAAAGACGTCCATATTGGGAAAAAGATATAATAAAGATGCTTGGATTAGAAAAAGTAAGCAGCTGTTTAAGTCCTCTTAAGTTAGTTGTTTAAATTTGCTTTAAATTTTATAATTTTTAAACTTTAAGGTACATTTTTATTACTTCACTCATTTAAATGTATTATTTAGTGTAATTTATTTGAAAATTTGATTCAGACAAAATGGGTTTCACCTTAACATTTCACTGTAACATGGGACCATCTGCTTTGAAATGGATCCATAACCCTGTTTCCTTTGTTTATAGGCACATACTCCTCAAGTTCACAAGAATATACCTTCAGTGAATGCAAAACTGAAAGTGGTTAAACATTTGATAAGGTTTGTTGTTTGTTACTTCAGCTATTTAAAAAAATGTATTACCTAGTGTAATTCTAAAAGCATTTTCTTATGTCACAGAATCCAGCCCCTGAAGTTGCCACAAGGACTTCCAGCGGAAGAGGACATGTCTAACACGTGTCTCAAGAGCACTGGGGAATTAGTGGTGCGGTGGCATCTAAACCCTGTAGATCAGGAAGCAGTTAAGTCCTAATGCCAGAGCAGTTTCATATTTAAAAATGTAAATCATTTTTATTTAAAGATAGAAAGTGTTCTCATTAAAATATATTTTAAATTCTAGTCATTTTCACTGGCTAACCATGGTGTGATTTCTTCCTTGTATAGGCTTGGAAGTTTCAGTGCTGGTATTTGATTTAACTCTCTTTTCTGTCTGATAGTTTCACTGCAGAATGGGCTGGAGTGGTATTGTTTAAACATCTGGGTTCAGATGTCACCTTAGCAGTCACCATTGACTTGTTTAAAATATTGTTTTCTCTTTTAATTGAACGCAACAAATTCCTCGAGTGTCCCTTTGAGTGAGCAGTGTGTTACGTGTTGGGGAAATGCACAGCAGACCAGATGAGCAGTCCCTGCCCATCAGGAGTTTAGTCTCTTGCTAGAGAACAGAGATTCGGCCACAGTCATTAAACATTGGGTGTAGCTAGATTGACTGCTTTGTGCTTTAGTGTCTATAAGTATATATGTAGAGTTGGCTGCATTTTATTCTTAAATTTAATACCAAAAATAGTATCTTTTTCTAATTATAAATCTAAATTGGCCCAAATTTTATTGATGTTCTTTGAGTTCCTAAGAAACCTCTGCCAACGGTTGAGGTAATATTTAAAAGATGAGAAAGACGGGAGAAATCTTTTAGGGAGAATTGTTTTATTTCCTTTTTTTTTTTTTTTTTTCCTATTTCAGATACCTGGAGGGGTTGGGAGAAGTAAGAATTGTAGGACAGGTTCAATAGTGGGAAGTTTTGTGGCAGCTAATCAAAGATGATGGTGAAGAATCTCTGAATTCTAGTTGCCTATTTCCCTTTGTCTTTTGTGAGGTTTAGTTTGGGCAACAATAACATTGGCATACTACTCATAATTATGACAGTATTCATATTATGTAGTATTCATCCTGTCATAGGTCTTGATGTTTTAGAGCATTCAGAATTGCTACCTGAAATGAGCCAGATATCATTAATTACTAAGCTTGAATGCAATTACAGTTTCAATTCAACAATTATGAAATATCTAGTATATGTAAGGCCTGGAGGAGACCTTAAAGCCAGAAGACACTTACTTCAGAGAGCTCATTCTAGTTGGAGAGAAACCTGTATGCTACAACAAAATGTGTCCTTGCTGGAGGTGGTTTGAGGATAGCTGTGTTAATAAAAGCTGGTCCCTGCTAATTTATTGCCATCTCTTTCACTATACTAATATTAATGTTTACAATGGGGAAAAGAACATTGGTTAATTTTTACCCAAAGATTCTAATGAAGTTTAGGTAAGTAATTTTAACCTCAACAGTCCATGACTAGAAAAAAGGACCTAAATGTTGTTGAATATTTGTAAATAAAATTGTCAATAAGGAGAAAAGTATAAGGCGCACATGGCTATAAGCTAGTGCATTAGTTTTCTATTGCTGTGTAACTAATTACCACAAACCCAGTTGCTTAAAGCAACACACACTTAATTATCCCACTGTTTCTGTGGGTCAGAAGTCTGGGCTTAGCTGGGCTTAGTCACTTACAGTCTCACAAGGCTGAGTTCTCCTCAGCCTTGACTGGGAAAGGATCTGCTTCCAAGCTCTCTCTTATCATTTGCTTGTGATTGTAGGATTCATGGCAAGTTGTTTCTTCAAAGGCAGTCAGTGTTGAAGAGAGAAACTAGCAAGATGTGTGCTAATGAGGGAGCACAAGGCAAGCTGACAGACCACAAACACCCCCCACAACCCAACCAGGTGGGATATGTGTGATACTCCTCAGGCACTCCTGGCTGCCCAAGAACAAAGGAAAGTGGAAAACAAAAGGTTAACTGATAGAGATCATAGTCCTTCAGGACCTAGGTCTCCACTAGCCCTCCACAGTGGGAAACAAAGGCAGAAGGAAATGGCAGCTAGAACTCCATTCCCTTGTAACATGCAGCCCATTGACAAATCCTTGAGGCTGGCAGAGTAAAATGTTTTTTTAGGAACACCCTACTGTCTTAATGTTTTGCTAGAAGGAAAAACAGCCTTAGCTTGACAGTAGCTAGGCCTCCAGTGTCCTGTGAGTCTTTAGCATATGAAAATCTCCCTGGAAACTTCCCCTGGACTTTACCTCCCCCAACCCCATAGTATATAATCAGTCTTTCCTCATCGTCCAGGGCAGGGTGCTTAAATAAAATCACCTTTTTGCACCAAAGATGTCTTCAAGAATTCTTTCTTGGCCATGGACTCCGGACCCTGTGAACCCCACTAACACCTCCAAAAACCTCATCATGTGCTATACTCTTAGGTAATCATGCAAATGCAGTCATGTACATTCCATCACCTTTGTTGCATTCCATTGGTTAGAAGCAAGCCATAAGTCCAGCCAAACTCAAGGAAGAGGGGAATTACACAAATGTATGACTGCCAAGAGGCAAGGATCCTGGGGGCCTCCTTAAAGATTACCTGCAAGCATGGTAAGTCCATCCCCAAGTAGACCCATGGAAATCCCCATATTGTCATTCCTTTGCTTCATATCATTTCAAAACCTTTTAAGGACTTCTTGCTTAGTTTTGTCTTTGGGTCTCCGAGAAGTTACCTGAGCGCTAGCACTACTTTTAAGGACCATTCCAGTTCTCTTGACATCTTCTCAATCTAAAATTGCACCTCTTCCAGGGGCATCTTTTGTCATCGCAATACTAATACTTAGCATCTTAACTAGCACAGTTTCACCAAGAGCAGTTCCACCAAGTGGAATTGCACTGGCCATTTTGAGGAGCTTTTGACACAAATAAGATGGTGCATTTAGGAGGTACCTTACAACAAAAAAAACGAAGAAATCCCATGAAGAGATTATTTGTCCTGTTTTTCTAAAAAAGAGATAATTTTGGGGCGCCTGGGTGGCGCAGTCGGTTAAGCGTCCGACTTCAGCCAGGTCACGATCTCGTGGTCCGTGAGTTCGAGCCCCGCGTCGGGCTCTGTGCTGATGGCTCAGGGCCTGGAGCCTGCTTCGGATTCTGTGTCTCCCTCTCTCTCTGCCCCTCCCCCGTTCACGCTTTGTCTCTCTCTGTCCCAAAAATAAATAAACGTTCAAAAAAAAAATTTAATAAAAAAAAAAAAGAGATAATTTTGCTTAATACAGGTGGTATCCTCTCCTTCCCAAACTTCCAGGAGTAACAAGTACTGGTTTTTTTGATCACACAGCTTGATAAAATTTTCAAGGGTCCAAGTTACTGTCTAAACCATCTGTCACTCTTTATATATGTATATACATCAAAACTTTTCTGCATCTAAACTTTTCTCTCTTGGGGCTCCTGGGTGGCTCAGTGGGTTAAGTGTCAGACTTCGGCTCAGGTCATGATCTCATGGTTCATGAGTTCGAGCCCCACAAGAGGTTCTGTGCTGATAGCTCAGACCCTGGAGCTAGCTTCAGATTCTGTGTCTCCCACTCTCTGCCCCTCCCTCCCTCATGCTATCTGTCTCTCTCAAATAAATAAACATTAAAAAAAATTTTTTTAATAGATGAATAATTCTTCATATTCTGTTCTCTAATTTTCTTCATTGTATGGAGAAAAAATTTGTTGGCCACTTAAGTTAAAGATAATATAAAGTGTTAAGAATGTTATATGTTATACTAATTGTTAACACTTATATATTATAAACAATATAAATCAGGTACAATAATTACAGAGAAATACAAATATGTATGTAGCATAATGAATATGATTTACTCCTTATTAAGATGGTAAATTTAATATGTATACTTTTTTTTTCTTTTAAGTATTTGAGAGAGAGAGTGTGCGCTCACACAAGAGAGAGCAGGAGAGGGATAGAGAGAATCTCAAGCAGGCTCTGTGCTGGGGCCCAACACTGGGGCTCAATGAACCGTGGAAATCATGAACTGTGAAATCATGAAATCATGGCCTGAAATCAAGAGTTGCATGTTCAACTGACTGAGTCACCCAGGTACTCCTACATCTTTTATTTAATATAATTATAAATTATACTTTTTTTTTTTTAAGTTTATTTATTTTGAGAGAAAGAAAGGAGAAGCAGAGAAAGAATCCCAAGCAGGCTCTAAGCTCAGCATAGAGCCTGAGGCAGGGCTCGATCCCATGACCATGAAATCATTACCTGAGCTGATACCAAGAGTTGGACACTTAACTGACTGAGCCAGCCAGGTGCCCCTGACAAATTCTATTGTAAAGCAATAGATACAAACTTAGGTTTATTAAATATAAATGTCCACGCCTAAATACATATAAAGGTATATTAACAAATTATTGCAATCTGTGCATGAATAATGTAAAATAAAGGTAAAAATCAAGTTTGAGTAAACCAAGGTATTTTTGTCTAGAGAATCATTATTTCCTATTTTATTTTTTTTTATTTTTTAAATAAATTTATTTATTTTGAGAGAGGCAGAGATAGCACAAGTAGGGGAGGGGTAGGGAGAGGGGGGGAGAGAGAATCCCAAGCAGGTTTCGCACTGCCAGCTCGGAGCCCAATGTGGGGCTCGAACTCACAAAACTGCAAGATCATGACCAGAGCCGAAACCAAGAGTCTGTTGCTAAACTGACTGAGCCACCCAGGCACCCCTTTTTCCTAATTTAGATACTTAGCACATATCTTGTCCTCTCTCAAAACTATTCTTGATTTTGCCTTTCCCAAAGTCATACCCAAATTTGAAACAGTATAATTATTAAGATGTATTTTATTCTTAAACTGTCTATGGATTTTCTTTCTTTTTTTAATTTTTTTTTTATGTTTATTCATTTTTGAAAGAGAGAGACAGAGCACAAGTAGGGGTGGGCAGAGAGAGGGGGGGGACAGAATCTGAAGCACACTCCAGGCTCTGAGCTGTCAGTACAGAGCCTGACGTGGGGCTCAAACTCACGAACTGCGAGATCGTGACCTGAGCTGAAGTTGGGCACTCAACCAGCTGAGCCACCCAGGTGCCCCTGCCTATGGGTTTTCTAAAGTGGCCATCAGATAACAGAGATTTGCTGTTCACCACATAAAAGTAAAAGCAGTAGGGATGACTGTCTAAAAATTCTCCAAACTTGAGTTCAAAATGATTATGAGCATTTTTGTCTACCAAACTTAGTATTGACAGAAATCTGACAACTTAGAAAGAGTTGATCTCTCTAGATTAATTACATATAAGTAAAGTCTATTAAGTATCTTTTAATGAATATACATTTTTTCAAGTTAAAAGAAATATGATTGGACACAACGATACAATAACTACCTTCCAAAAGATTGTTTCCATTATTCTAGATTCACAAATGCTCCCCTGTCTCCACCCCCTTTCCTTTCATTACAAATCTGAACAAGCATTAGGGAACTGATTTAATTAAATGGAAATCATCAGAGGCCCATTGCTATATTTAATCTTGTTGTATCAGTAGCCAAGATATATACATCCACCTTGTTAAGAACTGTAGCTGCAACAAAAGTGTGAAAGCTTCAGTTGATTTGGTTCTAGGGTCTCTACTACACTTAAATAGTACAGACTCTTCCATTGACAACTAACTTGGTATTTTTTGGCGAGTCCCCTGACGTATGAAGTGTTGTTTCTGTCTCTTTATACATCACTGTCCAATACTGCAACACTCAAAACCCTATTACCTCTCTCCTATGAGTCTGTGGTGTCATGCATTAATCTAAGAAATTTAGACAAAAGGACCAGCCCTCTGACAGCATGGACCCTAAATACATTCCTGTTGGGATGTTAAATTATTTTTCCATTGTATTTATTAAATTCTCTGTCTGTTTAGTCTGTCTGTAGTCATGCTCGTCCTACTCTTTTCCCTGAGGTTAAAGAAATCCTGTGTTTTTCTTTCTCATCTCAGGTTTGAGGAGTTACTACTTTTGTTCAAACTTGTCCCCCATGACACTTTGTCACTAAGATCCACATCTCATTTATTGCCTTGTTCTCTGGTTCAGAGATACTGGAGTTCTTAGAGAGGGTCTCAGAGACACTGACAGGGACTGGTTCCTTTATTAAGGCATTTTCTTATTTACAATACTAATTTGGTAAAATCTGCCTGAATCCCATGTTTCAACTTAGTACAATGCAAGAAACTACCTTTCCATAGGATGAAATATAGAATAGGACTTGGAAAGGCCCCTCAGCCAAAAACTCCCTCCCATCACTGTTAGGGAGTCTGACATTCCTCTATTAGAAATGCAGTCATTTTGGGGCGCCTGG